TTACATGTTGTCCTATATAAATTTGATTAAGATCTGAACAATAATTTTTGAGTTATTCTTAATAATTTAATTGAAGTCGGTTGTACAAAATTTTTTAATTTTAAATTATTTAAATAGTATAAGTGCAGCCAGATCACTAAATTAAATTTCATACCTTTTTCTATGAGGATTAAGAACTCATGATCCGGACCACAGCCAGTTGCTCATACACTGCGTTACTGACTCGTCAAATTATTAAAGTAATTTCATCAAACCTTATTGTAGTTGTTGGCAGAACTTAAACGTGAATTTAGCATTGTTCGTTCTACAATAGACCGCAAAGAATCATAACTCTTTGTGCAGCTTCCGTGAACTAACTAATAAAACCTTGTTCCAGTTAGCATCGTGAACTGATTGTTCTAGTCGCACAGCTGCGGTTTTTGACAATAATGTATGAGATTGAATGTCTACTAGTACGAACTGTGTGATCATAATATAAAAATAATTGTTTATTGTTTTAATTGAAACTAATTTATGTGCGCCTTGAGAAAAACATTAGCTACCCAGATCTTTTTACGGGCAGAAGGAACGCTTAGTTAAATCTGTAATAGTTTCCGCATTTACAAGTATTAAGGAAGCGGCAACTGGCTATAGTATTTCACAACGTTGTTTCGTTGTACGTTAAACTGCCTTGGTGGTCTAGTAGTCGTAAAAGCGGTTACTGATCATAAGGTCCCGGGTTCGAATCCAGAGTCGGTCCATAATCAGTTATTGGGTTTTTGTGTCAAAAAATTTTCAGCAGCAGCTCGGAGTCAGCGAAAGGAGTCGCAAAAATCTGTTTGGAGAACAGTAGTATTTCGTTAGAATAGAACAGAATAGAAGAATAATCTATATTGAATAGATCACATGTGTAATTCTTATTGAAAGTTATTTTTTTACTTTACCACTGGTTCGAAAAAAAACGCTCTGTCCTGGGAGAACCAGCAAGAAACCCAACGGGAATTTCTTTAAAGTAAATTTTACATTAATGGTTTTACAAACTATTTACAAAATTTATTTTAGAAACTGTTTCGAAGCGACCACCTCATTCCCAAGGGTTATTATCAGCCATGTATTCATTTACATTAAAATAGCCCTTTTTATACAGTTTCAACTTAATAAAATTTTAAACTTGGTAATAGAGAGAAGCTGTGCACCTTTTTTTTATAGAATTAGAGTGACAAACGAGCACACAGTCCACCTGATGGTAAGTGGTTGCTGTGGCCCATAGATATCTACATCTACGAGTATCTTCGCTTGCGAATTAAAATGCAGATGCGTTGTCAGCCGTGAGGACTAAGATAGAATGACTCTTTTCCAGTAAAATAAGTCTCCGGTTCTCTACACTCACCATACGAAACAGAGCAGCATTAAGCTGGTATTTTACGCTGGTATTCTGTGAGAGCGTGGTCCTGCCCCAGTCGAGCCGACCCATTCGTGCTACAACTATACTATTAATATAGCTGCAGCATGGCTCTACCACGTAAAAAATCTTAACCTTGTTGTTATAACGTACAAAATTTCCCCAAGAATGAATTACTGACTCTGTGGAGTCGAAAAACTAGTATCACTAGCTTATATTTGTTCCTAATGTTTACAGAATGATATCAATTTTTTTTACTAAAACTTTGTTTGTTTTGTGAACATACATTGAATTTTCGTAAATATACTGAGAGGCCAAAGTTAATATATTTATTTCTTTAAATTTATCTCTAAGAGACTCTTTTGGTTTTAGGTTGTAAATAGCTCTATAGGCTCTCTTCTGTAAAACAGAAATATTTTTTGAATCAGCCGCATTTTCCCATAGCAAAATGCCATAAGACATTATTCTATGGAAATACCTGAAAAAAAAATCTAACTGTCTCGACACTAGTGAGACCTCTTATCTTTTTTACAGCATAGGCTGCAGAACTTAGTCTGCTTGCTAGTTTGGATATACGGGGGCCCCACTGACGCTTTGCTTCAAGAGTAATGCCAAGAAAAACCGTGTATTCAACAGGGCTCAGTTCTTCCCCATTTAAAAACTCACTGGTACTCAGATTCTTAACATTGGTTGTTGTCAATTTTAAACATTAATTTTATTTCCGTTAAAATGTAAATTATTAACGTTAAACCAATGCACTAATTTTGATATAGCATTATTCACTTCGTCACATTTAAATGATTGACGTTTAAGTTTAAAAATCAAGGAAGTATCATCAACAAATAATAATATATCATGATTATCCCCTACAACGGAACGGAACCTAGGAACGGGCCCAGAATCGATCCCTGAGGGACACCCATTAGTACAGGTGACCTGGAAGAACTTTTACCATTCATAATAACATTCTGCATTCTATTACTTAAATATGAAATAATATGTTTAAGCGCTGTGTTCTTGACAACATAGTACTGTAGCTTCCCGATTAATGACTCATGGTGAACAAAGTCGAAGGCCTTTATGTATATATATATATATATGCCTAATTAAAATATATATATATATATATATATATATATATATATATAAATATAAATATATATATATATATATATATATATATATATATATATATGCCTAAAAATTTATTCCCTTTCTATTTCATCATCATAACAGTCTTTCAAAGATGTTCTTAGGCTTGCCTATAGATTACATTATAAGTGGGTTTACGATAGTTGCCACGCTTTGCAAGCGGATTGGCAACCGCAGTTTTTATTTTCTAGTTGGAATTAGGAAGACGCTGTTGCCGACTTCCTGTTTTGTTTACCTCAGTCACCTCTTACGATACCTACAGGATGATATCGCGTAGTGGATATTCTTACAATTTTACTCAGGGTATAATGTAGTATAATACCAATAATAATGATCATTACTTTATTGGTAAATATTTTTATATCAGATAAAATATTAACAAATCAAAAATAATAATACACTCTTATAAAGGTTACACGCATTATTTTTATTAAATAGTCCTGTCAGTAAGGTTTCAAGGATTACATATATCATCTACGTAAATAGTGGAACATAAATTAATAAGAAACTAGGTCTAAAATTTTCTAAATTAGTTTTTAATACTTTATTAAGTGTTAGCAAGTAAATATTACTAATTTACAAACTTAAATCCCTGCTAACACTACATTAAAAAGAGGCCCGTAAACAGCAGTGGACTTTTTGTGGGATAATGTTGAGAAATCATAGGCGATCTATGTTGTATTTATTTTGAAGCAGCGTCATCTATTTATAATACAAAATGTGATGCGTTTTACTTAGTGACTAATTTGATTTAATCATAGATTTATTTAAATAACATAAAATACATATTATTTATTCGCTTAGAAGCAATCACTTTCAGGCAACCACATTTTAGAAGGTAATATAATGGTAAAGGATATAATTAGAATGAGTGAAAAGTGAATAACGACAGTGAAAAATGGTAAGGGTGTACGCAAAATATAGATAAATATATGTTGATATATGATATACATATATTAAATACTATAGAGCGATGGAAATGTTATCTTAGTAAAAACCAGTGTATATATTGTTTGAAAATCAATCATTATTGATAAGACAAATAACACCGTAATAATAGAGCGATGGAAATGTTATCTTAGTAAAAACCAGTGTATATATTGTGTGAAAATCAATCATTATTGATAAGACAAATAACACCGTAATAACAAATGTGACAAGCGGGCTCAGGTCACTTAAAATATTTATTTTTAAGCCAGTTTAATTTCCTGACGGCTCAAACCTGCATATAAAAAATTATTAAGATATTTTTCATATGTGCGCATGGGGATTTTTTTTTTGTTCCAACCACAGTGGCGTTTCAGTCTTTAAAAACTTCTAATCCGCGTGTGATAATTTCAAGACACGGTTGCTAAGGCCGCCATCGGTTGTCCTAGCAACGACATGCGTCGCTAGGTCGCTTCCACTGCAGCGTCCAATTGCAAGAACATCCTGTGACGCACCTACGTAACGACGCATGCGTCTTGTTACCAAAACAAGCAGCCGTCATATTTTGACTTTGACTTTTTTATATTTTCAGTGTACATTATTGTGTTTATAAGTTAATTATTAAGTTACTTTATTGTGTTTTTTAAATTTGTTTTAAGTTATTCTTTTTTGTGAATATATTTAACTCTGGTGAATGCAGTCCGTGACCCAATCTTGTGATGGTACGTCGAACGCGAACCATAAATGTACACAGTGCAACAAGTCATTCAAATCTTCGAAAGGCCTCAATATACATACTACAAAATCACACAGGAAATGCATTAGCCAAAACAGTTCACCTTTAGACATCCATCCCATTATTCCGAGTGCGCCTACTTATGTAGCCAGCGATCCAACTCCTTTCCACACATATCTTAGCCTTTTGAAAAATAGTATACCCATAGTTAAAAGAATCCCTCGAGGAGCTCGAATAACCGTTGCTACACATTTGTCACAATTAATCCAAAAATGTTACATAAACAATTGTACTCAAGACTGGCAGAACCTATTTTTATTTTCATACAGCACACTACATATAATAAAAACTGTTGAACCGAATTTATCCTTGACACAAAAGATTAAGAATAACTGTGCTGTAAGCTCCTCGCCTTCTCCCGCACCTCTAATCAAACATGATACCCCTCGTAATCGCAAAAAACTCATTGAAAACAAAATCTGTGACGGAGATCTCAAAGGTGCCGCTCGCCTTTTGTTCTCCAACGACGTGCTATCACCAGATACCCCTGACACCCTTCAGGCCTTACGGACAAAACATCCTACAGCTCCAGTAAATCCATATTTTCTCGACCGACCAACAGCAGGACAAGCATGCCTTCAAATTCAAAACAAAGATGTTACGGATACCATTTTATCTTTTAAACCAGGTTCGGCTGCAGGTTTGGATGGAATCTCACCCCAACATTTGAAAGATTTAACATCGCATTCTGTGGGTGATGCAGGCAAGCAACTTGTAAATTCGATCACTAAATTAATCAACTTTATGTATTCCGGTAATGTTAATCCAGAAATTGTTCCCATTCTTTTCGGCGCGAACCTCATTGCCCTCACTAAAAAGGACGGAGGGGTGAGACCAATTGCTGTTGGATCAACACTACGACGTCTAGCCTCCAAAATTGCTGTTCGACATATTTTACAAAAATTAAATTCGGAATTTGAACCCGTACAGTTAGGATTCGGTGTAAAAGGAGGGTGTGAGGCAGCTGTCCATGCCCTACGCTCTTTCCTAACTTACGGACAGCCTGACGTGCTGCTCAAAATTGATGTCAAAAATGCTTTCAATTCGGTAAATAGGGATACCCTGCTAACGGAAATAAAACAACATATACCGGAAATATACAATTACCTTCTTCTCAGTTACGCTGACCCAACAAAACTGTTATATCGCTCTAATGAACTGTCCTCGGAAGTAGGTTGTCAACAGGGTGATCCCCTTGGGCCTGCAATTTTTAGTTTGGCTATAAATCCGATAATCAAAATTTTAAATTCTAAATTCAACGTTTGGTATTTGGACGACGGAACCCTAGGAGGTGATTTGGATACTGTGTTTTCGGATCTTTTATTAATCAAAAATAAATTTGAAGCCATTGGTTTGGAGCTTAATTTTAGCAAATGCGAACTTTTTATAAATAACTGCGACTTAAATTTAAATGACATAAAACAAAAATTTAATATTTTGGCTCCAAATATTAAAATAGTTAACAGAAATTCCCTTTACCTTTTAGGGTCTCCAATTTTTGATGAATCTATTAGGGAATATATTAATAATTCAACGACTAAATTTCAAAATTTTGCTGACCGTCTCCTTGAAATTAGTCCACATTATGCACTTTGCATCTTAAAATTCTGTCTTTTCGTCCAAAAATTTACGTATGTGCTCCGTAGCTGTTCCTTTTGGAATCACCCATTTCTTTTGACACAAGTAGACAACTTAATCAAAATCAGCTTAGAATCGATTCTAAATATGCAGTTGAACGAGCAATCTTGGACCCAAGCATCCCTACCCATCCGTTATGGTGGTTTAGGGATTCGCAAAGTTTCGAGTGTCTCTTTACCAGCCTTCCTATCTTCTGTCCATAGTTCAGCAAATCTCATAAGTAAGATCTTAAGGGCATCCCATTCAAACTTTGAGATTGTTGGCTTGGAAGAAGCTAGAAACGCTTTCTTATTTGCATGCCCAGGTCAAAATTTTCCAGTTACTCCAAATTCACAGAGGAGCTGGGACGACATATACTGTAAATTAACTTACGACAGTCTTTTGAGCTGTAGTACAGGTTCGGCGCGTGCTAGGCTTTTGGCCGTGGGTACGCATGAGGCTGGCTACTGGCTTCACGCGTACCCTTCTTCAAATACAGGAACATTTCTTGAGCCTGACACGCTCCGGATCGCAACCTGTCTACGGCTTGGGGTTCCGGTCTGCGCTCCTCATAAATGTCCCTGTGGCAGTGATGTCGATAAGCTAGGACATCACGGACTGTCATGCCAAAAAAGTGCAGGCCGCTTCTCGAGACATGCCGCACTTAACGATATCATACGCCGGTCCCTTGCCACCGTCAACGTGCCAAGCCTACTTGAGCCGTCTGGTATTGCAAGAGACGATGGCAAGAGACCGGACGGTATGAGTTTGATTCCATGGAAGATGGGCCGGGTGCTGGTATGGGATGCAACCTGTTCAGACACGCTGGCCCTTTCCCATCTACATGGAACCAACAACAGAGCTGGTGCGGCTTGTGAAGCGGCTGAAAAAGCTAAAGCATTTAAATATAGGGGTCTAGGCTCCGAATATGATTTTGTCCCATTCGGTGTCGAGACCCTTGGTCCGTGGGGTCCTAGCGCTATAAGGCTTTTTAAGGAAATAGCAAAAAGGTTAGTCGACATCACAGGAGACCGAAGAGCTGGCAGCTACCTCGGACAAAGAATTAGTCTAGCTATTCAAAGGGGGAACGCTGCCAGCATTTTCGGAACCTTGCCTAAAGGGACTCCTTTTTAATAATAAATTTTTAGTTATTATATTATACTTTTAAGGTTTTTAGTTTTAGTTTTTTAAGGTTTTTAGTTTTAGATTCATTGTTCTAGTATATATTTTATTTCTATAGCAAATTATATAAGATATAATGTACTTACTTAATCCAAATAAATATACATATATAGGTACTTACACATATATGAATATATAATTAATCAATTAATAAATACATACATACAGCGTGTAATTGTACTGGCTCTCTATACACTTCAGATCGGAACACAGCAGTATATACTGCCATTTGGCGGCAAAAGTAAGGAAATTTGAAGTGCTGGCTTACCATTTATCACCGCTGTACTCGTATCAGCGGTAAAGGCACGCTACACGTCTGCGAAAATAAACAAAACATTCTGGGGATACGTGAAGTCTGCCAACTCTATTGGGGCAGCACGGCGGACACTTCCTTGCTTCAAAAACCCTGTCCGAAATAAGACGACACTTGTGCCCAACGGTAGACCATATTATGCACAACTATTATATTTTATACAAAACTAAATTTTCGCAATACAAAATATTCTGTCTGGCACTGCGTTCACCGATTTAAAAACAAACTTTTTTGGAGACACGTCGCACTATTTACGTTATAATTAAAATTTCTTAGTAAAACATTTAAATTTCTTAAATAAAAGTATGCGGCAAGTCTTTTTTAACTAAAATTTAATTAAGAGTGAGATCCCAAAGAACACATTAATTTACCTAGAATTACTGCTGCTTGCTCTAATCTGTTTTATGTAATGCCATTTTGAAGCAACAAATTGTTGTGAAGTTCTTTGACAAATATAGGTTTAACAAAAGCGTCTTCTGAAATAAATTTCATCAGGCACAATAAGTTTAAGCAGATTAGAAGCAATATTTTAACCGCGTAATTTGGTGTTCAGAGAACTTTATCATAACTAGTGAATTGATAGTTTGTACCCTAGAAGTAGGCAGAAGACAACGTTTTTGCTAAAAAATACTATTGGATCTCGGATGTCACTGTTATGTTGTGACTGTCTATGAGTTATCAACCCTTGATTTCTACCCTCTGACGTTATCGAATAAACGTAACATAGCGGCTGCTCCAATTCTCTTTCATATAGAATATGAGCCGTAGTAGCTCAGTTGGTTAGCGCTCGATGTAAGTTTCACAGTACGCGAGCAAACCGGGTTCAATCCCCGCCGGCACCAATAAAATTGATAATTGCAATTTTAAGTGTTGATTTACCACGTGCTCGGCGATGAAGGAACACATCGTGAGGAAACCTGGATATCTGAGAAATAGGCATAAATATATTTCGAAGACATGTGAAGTTCGCCAACACGTATTCGGGCAGCGCGGTGGACATTTCCTTGACTTAAAACCCTCTCAGAAATGAGAGGAGGCCTGTGCCCAGCTGTGGGACGTATATAGGCTGTAACTTCAACTTTCACTTTAAGGGTTGTGTGAATGAAAAATGCGTTGTCAACTCCTGAAGATGGAATGCCTCGTTTCCAGTAAAAAGGTTCTCCAATTCTCTACACTCACCATACGAAACACAGCAGCATTAAGGTGCTATTTTACACTGATATTCTGTGAGAGCGTATTCTCCTACCCCAGGCGAGCCGACCCATTCATATTACAACCATAACATAGCTGCTCCATGGCTCTACCACGTTGAGAGAGTTAATTAAAACTGATTACTAGACATCTTGATACTGATTATTTTAATGGAGCATTTGACCAGCAAGCACATTCATCATTATCGTAATCATTAGAGGCCAGCACAAGTCCACTTTTGAACTTAGACCTTACCAAAGGAATGCCACAAAACACGAAAAAAAATCAGAAACAAGCAAATATATCGTTATAAGTAAGAATACTAAAATATTTAAAATGTTAGAAGGAGTATTTATTATTAATTCGCTTAAGAATGTGAAATTCAAAGCAAAATCTTAAAATAATAAGTTAATGATAGGTTTTATCACTAAATTTGTTAGGTAAGTAAGAGTTTAGAAAATATACGGGCCTAAGAAATTTGAAGAATATGTTTTCAACGATGAAGTCTAGAGTCAAGTAAATAGAGTATAAAATAATAATTGTAGGAAAAATATAAAACATAAAAATTCAGATACAAATTGTACAGTAAAAATTACAGATTTTAAAGTAAAACAAATAACTGATTTAATATCATTAGACCTGGAGAAAACAAAGGAATATTTTATATGGACAAGACATCACCCGTTTATTCTGTTAAGAGCTTAATTTTATATCTAATAAGACTGTCAACAGGCGACTGCTGTACATAAACCTCTCCCATCGGTACGGTTGCCTTATTCTCCACACTTGGTAGGCAGATTTGCAAACACAGGACCATACGGTATAACTGGTATAAATACGAGTTTACTATAATACTATATTACGTGGTAGTGCCATGCTGCAGCTATATTGGTCTATACGAATGGGTCGGCTCGACCGGGGAAGGACCACGCTCTCACAGAATACCAGCGTAAAGTAGCAGCTTAACGCTGCTGTGTTTCGTATGGTGAGTATAGAGAACCGGAGACCCTTTTTACTAGAAAAGAAACATTCCATCTTAGTCCTCATGGGTGACAACGCATTGGCATTTTGATTCGCATACTGTGGTCTATGGGCCACAGCAACAACTTACCATCCAACGGAACCCAAGGGGCCAGCTGCTGGCCCCTTGGGTTCCGTTGCCCTATTCCATATTTCCCTACTTTCAGCTCACCATTCTCTCTTGTGCCTTGTTTTGCATTGAAGTCTCCCATTAACACCATATATTGGGTTTTCGAGGAATGCATGGCTCTAGAGATATCCTCATACATTTCCTCCACCTCCTCATCGGGGTGTGCCGAGGTTGATGCGTAAACCTGTATGACCTTCAGCGAATACCGTTTGGTGATTCTGGATATAAGGTACGCAACCCTTGTCGACACACTCTCAGTCTTTACAATGTTGTTAACGAGAGACTTGTGGACGATAAATCCGACATCTCTTTGGGACAGATGGTCGCCCTCCCGGTAATAGAGCAAGTTGCCGGATTCGAGGATTACCGTTTCCTCTCCCTCTCTTCGGACTTCGGATAATCCTATAATATGCCAGCGTAACTTGTCTATCTTTTCTTCCAGCTCCACAATCTTCTCGTCAGTCCTCAGGGTGCGTGCGTTGTATGTTGTCAGGTCGAGTCGTCGTAGGTGGCAACTGAACCTCCACCGGAGATTCTTAGCACCTTCTGCCCCGCCGTTACCATGGTCACCACCGTAGCCAGGAATAGCGGGGCCGCTGGGGACTGGGGGCCGTCTCGTCACCCTATCCTATAAAAAAACTATCGGAAACCACAACAACTTTTAATCCTTTCTCTATATCGCCCATGACACCCACAGTTTAAAATAGGGTGATAATTTTTGTTATGTGTTAACCACAAGCCTATTTGCAAATTCAACTGCCTCGCCAATCTAATTGTCGTAAGTGCGATTGCTGATCAAGTAATTTTTTTTTGGTCGGACACCAGGCCGAAAGTCTGATGAGACTGGCGGCTCTGACTAAATTCAGTCTCGAGGAATTTCCGAAACATTTTAAATGAAATATTTCCAAATTTTTAAAATGAATATAACATATTTTTTATTTATTTATTTTAATCAATATAATGGTCGTAAGTGCGTTTGCTTATCATGAGATCTCTGTTTCGGACACCAGGCCGAAAGTCTGATGAGACTGGCCGCCGTGACTAAATTCAGTCTGGATGATTTTCCGAAACTTTATAAAGAAAATATTTCCAATTTTTTAAAATTAATATAACATATATTTTACTTATTTATTTATAAAATCTGTGGCTGTAAATATTTCATGAACATTTAGAAATGACGCACGGTAATTCGTCACAGAATTCATCTAAATTAAAAAATGAGATATTATAATACATAAATTATACAGTAGCATAATGAGAATAAGAGAAATGAGCTAACAATATAAAGAAATACAGTTTATGGAACAAACAATAAAATTAAAAGCTAGCGAACTTTATTTTTTATATCTTCTTTATTATATTGAAATAATTATCGTCCGTATGAATTGATTTTGATTGAACTGTGTCTATAATATATTTATATTCATATGTTTCTATTTTAAAAATTATTATCTATTTAGTTAATGTTTAAAAAAGAAACGCAGTTTGTGGCTATTGATACGCTGCCGTATTGATTTTAGAAAATGTATCCGTTCCACTTCAGTTCTCAAATAACACTAAAAGCTAAATCTATTTTCAGAAGCAATTCAACTCTGTTCAAATGTATTTTGTTGTTGTTGTGGGTACTTTATCTTTGCTCTCAGATATATTGGTCGTATTATTCTTCATCAGTCCTTAAAAGTCCACTGCTGGTGATGTGCCTCTACCTTTGTTTTTTATTCAATATAGATTATAAATAATACTTATTGAAAGTCACTCTTTTGTTTAATTACCACTGGTTCGAAAAAAAAACATCTGTCCTGGGAAGAACCAGCAAGAAAACCAGCGGGACTTTTTTTTAAATAACAGCTTACAATCATGTATTTTACACAATTAACCACACAAAACAAATTAGAAATAGCTAGGAAGCTTTGCCTATATTATCGGTCACGTTTTACAGGCAGATCATGATATGCGATGTACGTTGACGTTGCTACCTGTCTGAAGTAAATAAGATGATTATATAGATATCTATCAGAAGCCATAAGATTGTTATTATAGTCACCTCTTTTGACACCGATGAAATAAAACGGAGTGATGTATTCTCTAAAGCGACCATCACACGGTTACTATTATTTATTCCGTGACACGGTGCTAAGGTTTTTCCTATAATTGGCACACATGTACATAAAGGCCAGTTATATGAAATGACTCAAGCATTTGATAAACATGTTTTAGTTATAGATAGTGGTATTTTAAGCTTAATTTATTTTTAAATCGTTCTTTAATTATCGATACATCCATTGTAACATATAAAAG